CGACTGACGAGTTTCAAATAGAACGAAACGAGCGTATTGGATTCCACTGCCAGCCACCACCCATCAATAGTTGAATGTTCATATATGACCATATGAGTATCAATGATAGTTTTATTTAATTTTTTGTTTCACTAATCTCAAATTTTGTATTTATCTAAATGAAAATAAGTTTTATCATCGAGTCTACCCAGTATAACAACATTTAGTTATGTTTATAGGACCATTCTCATTAGAAAGTTCTAAAATAAATTCCGATTACTGCTGCTACCTTGATGTGGTGGTCTGGCTTTCCTATCATAATGAACCAGTCGAGCTATATTGGCTGGAATAATCGTTTCTCAAGGTCCTATAATGCCAGGCAAATCAGTTGAAGAGTGGTAAGACAAAAAGCAGCAAACCCAAGGTTCGAGGACGAAGTCATACTTCTGGCTGTACAGATCTGTGATGGCAGTAAGGAGTTTGCCCCAAATAACCAGTTCATCAGTGATGCTGCCTTTGCACAAGGAAGGGTGGAATCAGAAAATGTCGACCCTAAAAATACACACCTCACCTTGTCCCGTGGACATCAGTCTCTGGCGGTAAGGTCTCAACACAAAAATTACCCATAAAAAGGTCATGTGTGGCTGGCTTCAGGCAGTTGTATTTTGGGCACTGTCGTCACGCTCTCAGGTCACTAAGACCAACTCTGACACAATTTCCTTTCCAACTGCTTCCAGAAGAACCCTTCCACAGTGTGGGCAACCAGGAATTGATAACTTCAAACTACACGTCTGAGCGTTCAACGTACGCACCCTATGTCGAATCGGCCAACAGGCCTCCTTGGTTAAAACCCTAGAACCTCGTACGGTTGATGTATATTGAGGCTCCAAAACACGTACACAGGATCCTAGTGTGGTCACTCACTTGACCTCACCACGTCAAAACAAGGAGCCGACGAGCTACGCTCTCCGTTTAACTGGCGACCTGATAGCTAGTTCTCGTGGACTGGTGGGTGTAGACATAGCACCAAGTATGAGAGTAGAAAAAGCACTATTAGAATGAATTTCTGTTAACAATCACCTATGTGCCGTCCGGCTAAATGGCCCCCGAAAGAACTTGAATGAATAGGGGCGCACGTCGTTGCATTTTCGTTATTTCTGTCTACTCTCCCATTGACTGCAGCCCGGATGAAGTGAAGATGACTTTTAGAGAAAGCTCTCTGAACCTCTTCATAAAACCAAACGCTCAGACACAGTACTCTTAGAAGGTGGCTTTAACCAAAAGTCTAAGGAACGATTGTGAGAAATGGTGGGCAACGAAAGCAAAAGAGATGAAAAAGGCGGCAGCTGTAGGTAACGCAAGACAGATTTTCAGAATAACAAAGGAAACTGGAATTAAGAACTCAAGTGAGACGATTTCAGAAAAAGACAACACTCTCATCTAATTTCAGTCTAGACTTTAGAAAGATGAGTGGAACACTTTAAAGAGCAGTTCAGCCAGCCCTCAGCTACTCTAGAAGTACCCACCATTTACAAATACGCTGAATGGAACATTGAAGTAGGCCCTCCGACTTTAGTCGAATTTCAAAAAGCTATAGCTAATCCGAAAAGAGGAAGGGTAACTGATCTAGATGGATTGGCTCTAGAGGTCTTTAAAGGTGGTGGTACCGTTTTAGTGATTAGGTTGACTAATATTTTAGCTAAAATCTGGGAGTTGGATGTAATCTCATCCGAATGATTTGAATTACTGATCGTCCCACTACATAAGAAAGGATCAAAATCAACCTATGATAATCATAGGCGGATTAGTTTAATTGATATAACTTCCAAAATATTAGCCTCAATAATTATCGGGTGCCTAACAAAGAATCATAAACTGAAAACACGGGAAAATCGGTCTGGCTTTAGACCTGGTTTTGGCTGCATCAACCACATATTCAACATTTATCGAGTTTTAGAACACCGACTTTCTTATCGGCGTCCGACACTGATAGTTTTTCTTGACTTAGAAGCAGCGTATGACTCCGTAGGCCGAGGGGTTCCGTGGCAGTGTCTATCAATGAAAGGTGTACCTCATAAGTACATAAACCTTGTGAGGGCTTATTAGTCGAACCCTGCTGGTCGAGTCAAGGTCAGCTGAATCCGCAATCTCAAGTGATGTCCTTCAAGGCTGTCTACTATCTCCATTTTCGTTCAGTTTCGTCATAGACATACCGATGGAAATAACGTTCTCGTCTTCTGAATTTTCAGGCATTGATCTTCTACTAGGAGGTCCACTTATTGGCTTAGAATACGTAGATGACATAGTCCTATTTAGCGAGGACGCTGATAAAATGCAGAATTTTCTGGTAGCACTAAGCAACAATGCCAGAATGTTTGGAATGCGCTTCTCTCCCTCTAAATGCAAGTTGTTGCTTCAGCACTGGTCTGCGTCAACACCTGAACTAAGGATAGGGAGTGAAGAAGTCGAACACGTTGACAACTTCACTTATCTTGGAAGTCTGACCAGCCCTAATGGGTTGGTATCGGACGAAATTTCAGCACGGATTCGAAAAGCTCGTTAGGCTTTTGCCAAATTACGTCATATATGTTGAAGGTGAGATATCCGTCTATCAATAAAAGGACGAGTATACTGCGTGGCAGTCCGTTCTGTTTTGATTTACGGCAGCGAAACATGGCCATTAAGAGTAGGAGATACTCGGAAGCTACTAGTATTTGACCACAGATGCCTTAGAAATATTGCTGGCGTCTTCTGGGATCACTGGGTAAGTAATAGTGAGGTTAGACGCAGGGTATTAGGGAATGATGGTAATTCAGTGAGTGAAGTTGTAAATCTTCATCGACTGAGATGGTTGGGCCATGTGTCATGCATGCCTAACCACCGATTACCACGACGCACAATGCTGACTAGTGTTGGAGCCTGACGGAAGAAAGTTAAGGCGGTCAATTCAAAACGTTGCATTAGTCATTCAAGTCACTTAGCCATGTTGGTAGATACAGACTACTTGGTTGAGGTCCGTGTGACTATCATAACCAATGGTTAGAGACTCTGTGTGACATGGCTCAGAATCGGTCACAATTGCATCGGCGTATACACTCTTTGTCTTCCCTTAAGCCGTGAGATTAAAATTACTTTATACCATTCTTTCTAATTCTTTCTTCCTGTACTATATCCTTATACACAGTCTTTCCTTTTATATATTACCACCATTGAAGTGACCACTTCTATTAATTTGGTGTTCATCTTGTGCTAATAAGGTATGTCAACTTGGACCGATTCATATATGTGATTGATGCTGTGTTGTATTTGACAGACTAACTGACTGAAATAAATTGTTTTGTTTGGTAGGGTCACCAAGCTGTTGACACACATATTCAACCCGTCCAAAAATTAGAAAACCTCATAAAACACTTGAGTAATGAGAGTTGTGTGTAAATTCTATGTTTACTTAAATATATAATTAATACACTACAGGATAACTAACTTTAGAAGATACACGTATTCCAATTAAGCAGCTAAGACTTATACTGAAAATTCAAATGCAAAGGTATTTAAGAATTTATATAGAATGTATAGTTTTATACTTCTGGATAAAGTATTTCCAAAGTACTTCATGTTTTCGATCCTTAATTGAATTCATGAATCTAAAATTTGCTTGCAAAATTTGAAGTAAAGTCCACATGAATATAATTCCTTTTTATTCAATTTATGAATACATCAAATACCAAAATATAATACTTACTTACTTACGCCTGTTACTCCTTGTGGAGGAGCATAGGCCGCCCACAACAACTCTCCATCCAAGCCAATCTCGTGCAATCCTTTCTAGTTCTTTGCAGTTGTTATTCATCCTTTTCATATCTGATTCTGTTTCCCGACACGATGTGTTCTTTGGCCTTCCTCTTTTCTGATTCTCTTCACGATTCCAAATTAGGGCTTGCCCCGTGATACAGGTTGATGATTTGCGTAATGTATATCCTATCCACCAACTCCATCGTCTTTTCCTAATTTCCTCTTCAGCTGGAAGCTAGTTTGTTCTCTCCCACAGAAGGTTGTTGCTGATGGCATCCGGCCAATGGATGTTGAGTATCTTGCGTAGAAAACCATTTATAATTAATTGTACCTTCTTGATGATGGTTGTTGTAGTTCTCCAAGTTTCAGCTCCATACAGTAGAACTGACTGTGTTGATGTTCGTATGGAAGAATCTGATTTTGGTGTTAGTTGACAGACAGTTGTTTTGAGTTCCATATGTTCTTCAAATGTAGGAATGCGGCTCTTACTTTGTCAATCCTCTTCTTTACGTGTGCATCTGATCGTCCTTGTTCATCGATGATGCTTTCCAGGTATGTGAAAGATTCTACATCTTCCAGAGTCTCTCCATCAAGTGTGATTGGATTGGTGTTATCCGTGTTGTATTTGAGAACCTTGGTTTTCCCTTTTTGTATGTTGATGCCTACTGATGCAGAGACTGATGCTACACTGGTTGTCTTTATCTGCATTTGTTCGTGTGTATGCGATAGGAGGGCTAGGTCATCTACAAAGTCTAAATCATCTAATTGATTCTGAGCTGTCCATTGTATGCCGTGTTTTCCCTCAGATGTCGATGTTTTCATAATCCAGTCGACCATCAGAAGAAAGAGGAAGAGAGAGAGTAGACAGCCTTGTCTGACTCCAGTCCTTACTTGCAATGCTTCAGTCAGCTGTCCTCAATATATAATGCTTAAGGGAAATATAATTCTATTTTTTATTTACCTGATAAGTAAGTTTAAATCAGCGTCATTCATTAATCAATTTATCTTTATTTGAATTATTATTAGTATTATTCATTAGAATCTTATTCTCTTCAAATATAACATCCCTCAAGGTCATTCAATAACCAATCACAGACAGAAGAAAATATGAATTGAATTATTGATCTTTTTATAAATAACCAATCCGATTACAGTATTCTTTTTAAAAAAATACTATATATAGTTTTCTTCCCGATAAGACTTATAATAATAGTTATTATTTCCTTTATTTATCTTCATGTTTATCTTCTATGAATAATGAATAAAAATCTATTCAATCTATTTAACAAATTTCATTATTTAAAAAAAACGAAAATTTTATTATTTTTATTATTTATTGGAATATATACTTTATTAATAAATATTTGGTCATTAAAAAAATTTAATTCTTTGCCAAAATTGAATTTAACTCAATTTAATGAATTTAAACAAATCAATAATGATATAAATAAAAAATGTTCAATTCCACAAATGGATTTATGGCCAAATCATATAAATAATAATAATAATAATAATATAATATTTCCTAAATGTAAACAAACATCATTATTTAAATTCTATAATTTATCTAATAAAATAATTAGTATCCATGAATATTTATCATTTCATATGGGAAAATTAACGATCCATCATCATTATAATAATAATACAATCGGATTAAATTCTAGCTTAGTTACATGTTCATTATTTCCAATAAAACGATTAAATGATTATCAATCAATTTATTTAAATGTTATTGAACAAATTTATCATGGTTATCAATCAGAATGGCCAATGTTTATGGTAATGTGTCAACCAAAACAAAATATATTACTTTTACAATCTTATTTAAATTGGAATAATACAAAATTAAATCAAATTGAACGTTTATTTATATGTGGTTCATATCAAAATAATATAAAACAAATCAAATCAAATAGGACATTGACTAAAATAAAACAAAATAAATTAATGTTTAATATATTACTTTTAGGTATAGATTCTATATCACGTTTATCAGCATATAGATATTTAATTAAAACAATGAAATTTCTTCAATCAATTAATGAAAGTTCAATTATAATGAATTTATATAATGTCATTGGTGATGGTACTACAGTAAATTTATTAGGACTTTTAACTGGACAATTAGAATCAGAATTACCAGAATCAAGAAAATCTCATATGAATATAAATAAAAATAATTTATTATTAAATAAATTTAATAATTATACAATATTAGATAATTATCCATGGATATGGAAAGAATATACAGATTATGGAAATTATGTGACACATTATATTGAAGATACACCTAAATGGGGTACATTTCAGCATAGATTATGTGGTTTCGGTTCAGTTAATAGTCCAACAACTAGTTATGGACGTCCATGTTTAATAGCAGCACATCAAGAAGAAAATTATTCTGGGAAAATACTTGGATGTACAATGTCAAGGTAAATAAATAAATAAACAAACAACAACAACAACAACAAAAAGGAATACTATCAGAAGGGATTTTGTATAGATTTTAGTCATTTCAATAGTTGAAATCATGAGTCAATTGAAGCTAGACCACCATGAAAAATCTGGAAGTAAAGGATGGCCGTTTCGTCCTAGTATGGGACTCCCCAACAGCGCGCATTCACGAACCTGCCCCTCGAGAGATTCGAACCCAAAACCTATCACGCGCGAGACTGATAGGTCCTGCTTCCAGGATTTCCATGGTGGTCTAGCTTGAATTGTCTCATGATTTCATTTATTGGAAAATGAATACTACCAAAAATTGAAATTATCTTTGATTTTGTTTCTTTAAATTATATTTCATATGTATGTCTAGAAATTAATTGTTTGTAAAATACTAAACAACGAATTCAATCTTTTGTGAAAGTTGAAATTTGTAACAGACTGAAAATTTTATTAACTAGGATTCTAGAAAATGACATAGTTTATGGTTTTTATAGAAGTATGATCAATAACTATTATGAACCTAGTAGATATCATTATCAAGGCTTGACTTGATAATTTCGAATAAATTAAGCATTGGGTATATTGTTATAAATAAATTAATTGATATATTTGTAATATCCCAATGAATAGAAAAATTAGATTTTCTGATGTTTCGTGACTCAGTATAAGTCACTTCCTCAGAGAATAAATAACCAAATCAAAATTAATCCACATTTAAATACTACAATGGAACAACGCAAGAATATTATGTGATTAACCAAAAAAACGCGTCTGGACAAATCAATGTCATGTCATTTCGTTCAAGGTGATTCTTAAGCGACATGTATATAAATTTGTGTGTGTGTATGTGTGCACTGTAAAGGATGAAAAATTGTGTGACCTTTATGGTGAGAAAGGATAGAGTTTAATTTGTAAGATAATAGTGTGAATACTGTGAATTATATCAGACTGGGTAGCTAGGATAGACAGTCCAAGTAGGATGTATGGTAAGGCCTTCTTTTCTACTGAGTAAAATAGGATTAAACATTATACGGAATGCTTCAGCTACTCTTCTTTCTTTGTAATTGGAAAAAAACTTTTTGTATTATTTTGATGCCTTTGATATCGATCTTGCGATTGTTGAAAGTGTCATGAACTGCTATTGCCGATTTAATTTGAAGTCTATCCAGTTCTATGGGATTATTAGGAGTTTTCTTTGTGTACCTAATATGCTCTTTGGCTCGAGTCAAGATTTCGTGAGAAGACTCTGTAATATGAAAGGCATCACAATTGACACGACCTAATTTATAGATGCAGTTTTCTGTTAACATGAAGTGGATTTGTTCTTGTGAGTGAACTAAAGTATTTCGAAGTGTGTTTGTCATTTTGTAATATACTTTAATTCTGTGTTGTTTGAAGATTCTTTGGAGTTCTTATTTTGTGCCATGGTAACACTGCAGTACCAACCCATGCTATTTCATTTAAATAAAGGTCACACAATTTTTCATCCTTTACAGTGCACACTTACACACACACAAATTTATATACATGTCGCTTAAGAATCACCTTGAACGAAATGACATGACATTGATTTGTCCAGACGCGTTTTTTTGGTTAATCACATAATATTCTTGCGTTGTTCCATTGTAGTATTTAAATGTGGATTAATTTTGATTTGGTTATTCATTCTCTGAGGAAGTGACTTATACTGAGTCACGAAACATCAGAAAATCTAATTTTTCTATTCATTGGGATATTACAAATATATTATTTATTTATTATGAACCTAGATTATATATATATGAATGGTTTCAACCTTGTTTGACATTTACCACCTACCATTTAACCTTAAACTTGCATGTGCACATGGAGACATGATATGTCTGGATTCACCTTGCCTATCAGAATACCTGTCTTGTCCTCGCTTAGAATTCCTGAACTTTATCCTTTATAAGAATCAAGAAAAATATGACACAAACTAGTATATTCAATGTGAGTCAGTCTCAGAAGCCAGAACTATGAGCTTAGTAATCAATCATCATTGCGATAAACTTTAGTAATTAAAGTTACTGAGAGATATTTAAAAATAGATGAAACAAAAGTATTCATTTTGTCTTGTTATGAACCTTTTTATAAAAATGTTACTTGCTTGTTCTTTTCCTCTTATTATCTTTAAGCTTTATAAAGTTGAGATTTTGAATAAACACACTGCAGTGAAGCATTTCAATCTGATTCAGTCCAAAAATGTATATAGTTATCAATGGTTTGGTTATTTACTAAATTATTGTCTGTTGTTAACTAGTTATGCATAATGAATTGTTTTTCGAATGAATATTCAATGTATAAAAATAGTAAAAATATCGATTTCACCTAAATAACACATTCGTTCCATCTCCACTGTTTATCATCTTTAATGTTTCAGTCAAGAAGAAAAACAAAAGAGGCGAAAATACTGAAAGAAATGAGTTTGATTAAAATTTAATATGTACTTGTATTAAAATGGTGTTGTGAGGATCCAAATGAAGTCAAATATGTACTATATATGATATGAAACTCGAGATCTTTAGTAGTAGCTTGAAGCGAAAGAGCTAGGAATAGGTGGTTACGTAGTGAACAAAAGCTAATGATAAATAAACGAAGTGATAAACCAAAATAATCGAATGACAGAAAAGTAGAGAAATATGATGTAATGAAGCGAGGGTGAGGCTACCAATGAGAGTAAAGATTAATTGCTTTCACAATTAATTGATCACTGGGTGGTGTTCAATGTCATGTATGTCAAGTCCTTCTTAGTGCAGATCTAATTCTATCGACCAAGTTGCAATGTGGCCACTAGTCTAGGTGACTCGAAATTGCGTGCACTATGTTGAGATTAGATGGTGGTTAGAAGTAGTCAACAGGAAACTCTGGACCCGGGTTTCGTGCTACTTGGCACTCGTTAGCAAGGTGTACCTGTAATCCTGAGGGAACTGGTGCTCCCTGACGGAGTCGAACTTGCCGACGAATGCCAAGTAGCATGAAACTCGGGTCCAGAGTTTCCTGTTGACTACCTCCAACCACAATCTGATCAATTACTTTCTTTTTAAATCTAAACCAGCCTTCAGATACTTAAAAGATATGGCTTCAATAAATTTTAGAATATTTGAGTTTAATTGTTTGCTGATTATTTGAAAGTTTTCATGGTAGTTACTTGATGTCTTGAGTCGAGGAGATATCCAGTGATTGTGTTATTGAAGGTATCTATTCTTTTTAAGCGAAGGAAAGTCGCTTCAGCTATATACGTTTTGAATAAAACCTTGTACGATTACTTTCGTACAGTTATAAGATAATAAATAGATATATTTGTAATATAGCAATGAGTAGAAAAATTAAATTTCATGACGTTTCGCGACTCAGTGTAAGTCACTTCTTCAGATAATAAATAACCAAATTAAAATTATCCCAAGTTCCTTTGTACTATTTAAATGTAGATTAATTCAGTAACTTCCATAAAGGATACTTACAACCATCTTAATAGGGGTACTACTATCTCATTTGGTTTTTCATATATTTTTAGACTATTTACACTCGGTATAGTGTCTTTTAGTATAGGGGGTTCGTAAAGTTTGTCAAAATCTGTTGTTACATCACAAAATGACCTTAGAAAGATAACTATTTAGAACCAAGAAACATTGAGTGGCATTTTTCGCTAGTATGGAACTCATCAAAAGTACTCACTCATGACCCTGTCGGGGATCAAACCCAAAACCTTCAGGTTTCGAGATGGACTAATGAGACAACACCCAATAGTTCATATATCTTACTTGAAATAATTTCCGACATCGTGTAACTATCTCCCGATTCCATTAGTGGATAACTGAATGTCACGCAATATTTCTAAAATCCACTGGCGTTGGAAGATGATTGAACAATATCGGTGATTGATTAAAGTTCAGAATGTTCACCATTTGGTAGTGACTCAGTGATCTAAAGCTTAAGCGTTCACTGCTAGGCTTGAAGTTCCCGAGTTGGTTAGTTGCGAATCAGATTGTTAGATTAACAAAATCATTTAATCTTTTTCTTTTTTAAAAATCAATACACTTAAAAAAGTGATATTTTGTCTCTGTGTTGTAATTTAATCTTCATGGATTCTTTAAACTTGGTGGTAGTTTAAATCATTGTTTACTGATGTTTAAAGTGATTTATAATTATCCATTTTGACAGCCGCTTGTTTTAGTGATAGTCAAAATAAAACAAAATCCAGAAATGCTTCTCTTTAAGTTCTCACTGAGTTGCTGTTAAAATATAGAACCATTTAGTCAACTACTGATGATACATTATTTATTAATACACAAGTTGCATATTAAGTGTTGTGCCATGTTAATTTCCAAAGAATTATAAGGTGAAGTCGAATGAATATCTCAGATTTGTAGGAATCTGATAACGACACATATCTTTAGATTTTCATAGAACATATAAAAAATGAGTAGATCGTAACACATGAAAATATGTTTACATTCTAATGTTTACCTATTTCAGTATGTTATTTATGGCTAAATATATGAATGGAATATCATTTATATCTCGACTAAGAAGTGTCTTTTTCTTCCTATTTCATTTTTCAACAGATATACACATCAAGTTCTTTTAGAATCTCTTACAGAATTTTTCGAAACCTACTCAGATAGACCGCGTTTCAGTTTAACATTCTTAAGTGAATTAATACATGAAAATCCAGCATATGTAAAACTTATAGATGAAGATCTATCGAAATTAATTCAACGTATTTACTATGAAGATTTGATGTTCAATCGTGGGAATATGAAGGCATCGAGTAGCTCAAGCTATCCATTTGCGAATACATTAGTAGTATTATTCTCTGATCATGGACCACGTATGGGTGATGCACGACTTTCAGTTCAAGTAAGTTACTGAATGTCATAAGTATTTTTATTTGACAATGCAACTACTTAATATGATTACAGTAGCATGCATCAAAAAGGCAATGTTTCTTAACCCGTTTATTTACATCGGCACAGATTTGTAATTTCACAATGTTGATGCCATTGATCAATTTCTGTTACTGTATTTGCACCGTTGGTCGACTACATCGATAGAATGTAATGTCGTAAGTTTTAGCATGTTTGATATGCAGCTAGCAGTCAGTCAGTAAAACGTAAAATAGAACCTACGCTTGTGTGCATTGTCTCAAGTTGTCACATCGTAGCACAGTTAGAGTCTAAAGTAGTAGAATTAGAAACAAAACCAGTGACAGAATAAAATATAAAGTATAAACAGCATTATGTGAGGAAGAACATGAATACGTGGAATAGAAAAAAACATAAAATAATTTCAAAAATTAAAATCTCATGGAAGGTGAAGAGTTTTTGATGGAGTTTTGTTCTCTGAGCTGGATGGTTTGGTCGTGGAGCTTTCATCGTTCTTCTGAACGACATCATCAGCACAAACTTCGAATAGAAGTGAAGCGTTCGAATGTCTCCATATGCGTTAATGCATTTGAGTCATTTAGCCTGATTCTGAGACTTGTCACCATATAAACTCAAACTAAGTAGATTATACCTTCCCTCACAGCTCAGCCTAATAGTTAATAAGTTCATGGACAGACGTCACCTCTTGGTTTGAATGTCCTTAATTTCCATCCAACCTAATGATACCCCTACCAACCTTTTTTTAGACAGGATATTACTGTTAAACTGTTAGTTAGATAGAGATAAACATGAGAAATCAAATGACACCTTACCAACTATGCACAAAAACATTCTAAATCGATCTTGAACAACCAACAACCTACTAATACTATATAAAATCAACTGCGGTGTATTAAATGAAGTAAGACATTGAATCGAGCGTCGGCTCAGTGGTCTAGTAGTTAAGGAATCGCGCATGAGACCGACGGTCCTGGCTTTGAGTCCTGCAAGTCGGGTCGTAGGTTTGTAGCCGACAAGAACACGAGTTGCCACAACTCAACTTTTAGAATAGCTTCACCTTATCACTCATTCCTGATTCATTAATCAAAATGTTCAATGAAATTCGTTATAATTTTACTTTTCTAGTCACATTTAAACTACTAAAAACGGATTATATAATAGTAAATTCACAGAATTGAATTATCTTTAGTAAATTCGTAAATAAATGTATGAAAATAAATGCAATTTACTAAGCTTTTAACTTTTGATGATAAAATGAACCCTTTGTCAATTTCATAAAGTTCTATGAACTGTATTTCATTCTATTTCACTTGTACATATATATACACCATAATTTGACAAACTTTAAGTTGCATTATTTTGTATGTTTTCCAAAATTTTTCAAACGAATATTATAAAATTAGCATTAACATTGTCAGCTTCCATAAAACAACAACAACAACAACCATAATTTGATCATGTCATTATTCTATACCCTGAGTGACTGACGAAATCGGCTTTGGATAAAACAACATTATTTATTGACCTTTATTTAATCTAATGTTCACCGGTTAAAGAGAATATAAACAAACAATAGTGAATTTGTAATTTCACAATGAATAATTTTTTTTTGCTTTTTGAAAAAAAATGATTACTCGTTATTTAGGTTACAAGGTTAACTAGTTTATTGTTCATAATCTAGTAACATTTATTTATTGATTTAGATTAAATTCGTTCATGTGGATAAGGTGACTTGGCGAGACTCTAATTTATGGGCGAGCCAATGAGAAGCGTTTGAGAGATTTCAAGGTCACGGCTCTAACTTCAGTGCTTAATGCTAACGTACGATCGGTTCACAGGGGATTTTATACAAAACTTGATAACTGAGTGGATATAACAAATAAAACGACGAGACAATAATTTGTGGACGAATCAAACAGGTATAAGATAACAGATCTCGGATTTATTTATCACGGCCCCAGAGGTCGACTATTCTGTAGCCATATAGATGATTTCCTCTACTGCATGCATTACGATTTTAGAACCTCTGAACCTCTTTCTAACCTTGACAAATTTTTTAACCACGTATAAGACATGTATCCATTTTATTTCCTTGGTTTTGTATAATATATTTTTACTCTATACTGACTGTTTGCTGATTGGCTAATATTTATCAAGGTCACTTAAGATTCGTCCAAAGGTCGTCCATAAATTATAGTCTCACCGTTTAGGGAAAGCGAATGGATATTTTTTGGTTATTGCAATTTGAATTAAATGTCTATTTCATACACAGTTCCCTTTATCATTTTGAAAAGAGCAAAAACAAAGATTCTAGCAGAATACTTACGAAATAAAATGAATTCATGCTATTCTGCTAGAATATCTATTTTGTTTAAATTAGGTAGGTGAGCAACTTCTAGCTGTAGTTGACATATGTCAGTGTCATTTATGTACTTCTAGCCTTAGCTAATCCAGAAGACATATTGATAGGAAGATTTATTGGAATTGACTTAAAAAATGATCGTGAAGGCCACTACTATGTATAAACACATTTACAATATCCTGGGGTTGAAAAATGATCATATTTGAAGATCAATGAGGAAGTAGGGGGGGAGCGACTATGTCCACGACAAAAAACAAAAACTACACCCTTTTTAGCTTTTGAGATAAAAAAGAAGGAATTCATACTTCGTGAAAGGAAAATCACGAAATGTAAGTGACATCTTGGGATTTAAAGATGCTTAACGGTTACAATAACAAGAACAAAAGGCTGTTAGTAATAGCATAGAAAGTAATGTTTTCTAAATTTGAGATAGATAGTTAGGTTACTGAAGTAATTATGTAGTCGAATTACTAGCCGGTTAAAATCTTTTCAGCCACTAACTAAATTATAAACTTACCTTCACTGTAAACTCTAATCTTTACTTCATTATTCAAACCCCAACATGAAAATCATCGTTGAAATTCAAGTACACCCAAATGATATATCCCAAATGGGAAAAGTAGCTTCTTATGGATTCCATTACTCTCCACAGAACTATGATTAGACAGCTTCAAAATACCAATCGACCCATTTAAGTATCTTAGGAATGTATTTAGCAAGTTTAATAGATAATAGAAATGGTATATTATTGGGTTCGAATACCGCGAGGGGCAGGATCGTCGATGCGCGCTGCTGAGAAGTCCCACAATAGGGCGAAACGGCCTTCCAGTGATCCCAGGTTTTCCATGGTTATCTAGCCTCAATTGAATTCTGATCTCAACTATTGAAATAGTATATTAATTTTAGAAAAATACCCATCAAATATGTCCAAAGATAAATTTTATGTATTAATGTTCTTCAATCATCCATAAAATTTACTTAACAAACAATAATTTCTGTTGAATTGGTTTTATAATTACTAGTCTCATAAATATTTCTAATGAAAACAACATTAAGAAATTCATGTATTATAGTTAGGATCAAGAATATTGACTGCAATAAATTATGTCATACATTTAGATTACTAACTTAACAAAAGAAGTAGTTTTCAAGAAAAAAAATAAAGAAAAAAGAACAATATAACAATTATTCACAATGATCGATTAAACTGAGGGGAAATATATATATATACAAATAGTTTGGTGAGAATGTAATGTATAGACGACATTTGAGTGACGCTAGACTAACCTGCAGAGTGTCCACCTTATAACTAGGACTAAATGAGACTTATAAATTAGTGTGAGGAATTCGAATTACGATTTACAGTTGATGGTTAACGTTAGATATTAGATTTAAAGTTTTCATCATGAACTGACATCAGCCATAATGCAAAGACTCTGTTTAGCTAAATAGATGAGTGTATTTCGCGTCAAATTGCACAGAATAACTATGCTTTATTTTAAAAAATATTTACCAGTTAGTAAAAGCTAATTTAATATTAGAAAGTAGCTGATTTTCTTACATATTCTTACTCATTTATTCACTGATGTAATGTTGCAATATTGCATTCAAATAGTTGTCACAAATGAAACCCTAATATTAGTTCCATTATTGTATGCCTTGTCAAGTTTAGCTCACCAGAAAACGCTTTCAAAATTTCTGAACAATCACAATCAGTAATTTTTGCATGAAAACGCATTTGGAATTCAACCATAGAAGCCTGGTTTGTATGTTTGAAAACTGAGTATCTATTTTCTCATTTGATCTGAGTCATGTTTTCTTCATGAAATAGTGAGTTTTTGGTTATATAGACTCTATATATCACTTATGACATTGCGTATTCTTTGGTAATTAATCCAGAATCAAACTTCTTTATTGATAATTAGTGTATATATGAGTTGTAACTTTGTATTTTTCTGAGAACGAATTTCGTTAATTAAAAAAGCAGATTATTTTTATAGGTCAGTTGTCGCTGTTTAGTACTGTAAAACTAAGATAAAAAGACGGAAGATTTTTGACAGATATTATTCGGTTACTTTAGATGTTTATTGTTTTGGATTACGATACATGTCTCTCTATTATCTTATTGGTGATGGAAATAAGATAGTGTTTTGTAGGGACAATAAAATTAACAAAATGTTTGAATCGACTGGTACTTGCAGTTATTTTTTCGGCATGTTGTCGACAACCCTGTCCTGTAGAAAAAAATCTTGCTATAAAAACGCCAAGATGAATAAACAAATTTCGCAAAATCATGCATAGAGGACACCTGACAGATGCATTCCAAATGAAAACCAGAGTCAGACAAAGCTGCCTACTTTCTTCCTTCCTTTTTCTTCTGGTGATTGACTGAATTATGAAGACCTTTGACAGGAAGGACGGAATACAATGGACAACGTTTATGCAACAAGACGTTTTGGACTTCACAGATGACCTATCCCTTCTATTCCTTACACACGAGGAAATGCACGTCAAAAAAAGTGTAGCAGCAGCATCCTCTTCAGGAGTAGGCCTCAACATACACAAAAGAAAAGCAAGATTCTCAAATACAACACAGAGAACGTCAACTCTAT